ACCTATGTTTGTGGCTAACCCTTTTCTCCGTGTCAATTTTTAGTTTTGGAGATTTAAAAAGCCCAGCAAGGCCATAAAATGATTAAATTATACCAATCCTGCGTACGGCGCTGTTCCTCACATTACTTCCTGAAGTTTTGGAAAGTGTGAGCGCTGTGAAAGTCAAAGTAACGAAAAGGAAACGTTTATAGGATGGTAGGACACCTTCTAAGGCACGAAGGGTTATTTAGAGATATACTGGAAGCACAAGGAGGATTAAAGAAGGAGCAGAGAAAGACTGAGATTAGATTACTGCTCGCAGATAGTGATATGGAATGCTCCAGTTTTCGAGAAATGTAAAGATTTAGCAAAAGTAAAAGGATGTTAAGATGCGTCTTCAATAGAAGCAACCTTTTCGTTCACACAGAAAGTTTTGTTTTAATCGTTTCATACACTACTTATATCTGATGAATTATTTCGTTAATTACTTGACCAGAATAGGACGAACGTTGGATAATCGAGCAAGATGAGCAAATGAAAGACTGCAACGCCATTCGGCAAGAAAAGGATGGCGAGAACGCTCGAGTTTGAATCTCCGAATTTAAACCGGTTACGTACAAACTAGCCTCGTTTACGAAATAACTACTGCGAATTCCCTGCTTCATTTACTTTTACAATTAGTAAAATTATAAACTTGAATGAGAAAGTCTTACCCTCTTTTGTGAGGATTTTGCCCTAATCAATGGATTTGTTGACCTTTCTGTGCTTGACGTGGGTTAAAATTAGTTTTAATGTAACTAATCGAAATACGAATGAAAAAGTTTAATGTCACCTTACGGTTGTCAGAATCACGTTTGCATAGGGTGGTTAATAAGTAATGAAACACGGGGCAACAATTTTAAACATGATACAGCCTTAAAATAGTGAGTTTTGTTTTATCTGAACCGATCAATCTCTAACAAATTTTATTTTTAGCGCGAACCAGGAGTGTCAGAATTTAACGCTGCTTCCGTCGATAACTTGCCGCATTCATTCGGTTTCGAACCGTGTTTTAGCCGTGTTTGGTACGGATCGGACGTACATCTGCGGAGCTATGGATTTTTAACCGCGGCCATGTTCGCGAGCGCACAGCTCCTAAGTTTGACGTTTTTCGAGCTGTAGCTGGAAAACGGTAGGACTTATAGGATATAATTCTTTCACAGACGGATGCCCCGTCTCAGTGCGAACGATATGAGCCGTAAGCGGTCGCATTCGGTGTTGATGAAAAATTCAAAATTTTTAAAAATTTTTATTTTTTTTTCTTCGAAATTGCATTTCTCTTGTACACTTAGGTACATGCCAACCGTTGGTGAAAGAATTTTTGCGCTATCTTTAATAGTTCGCCAGATATGTTCTCTTAAACATTTAATCCTCGATTTCGAAAGTAACACTTGGCTAAAACTTCTGACAGCCGTAACTCCGAAACGGTACCTCGTAGGTGGGCGCTTTTACTTTTGACGCAGTGCACAGTATATCTAGAAATTTTTGATAATACTCCCATAGGGATCGGACCACTCAGTCCGGAAGTAGAAGCCATCGTGTGACCTCAGGAAAACACTAAAACGAACAAAAATCAAATTGCGCGAATTCGGTTGGCTCTAGCGAGGGCCATTGGTGTCACAATTTAAAATTGGTTTCGTCGAAAACTTGCCGCATTCATTGGGCTTCGAACAAGCGGTGTTTGGTACGGATCGAACGTACATCTGCGAAGCTTTGGATTTTTAACCGCGGCCATATTCGCGAGCGCACATCTCCTAAATTTGACGTTTTTCGAGCTGAAGCTGGAAAACGGTAGGACTTATCGGAAAAATTCTTTCACAGGGGGATGCCCCGTCTCAGTACGAACGTTTTGGGCCGCATGCGGTCGCATTCGGTGTTGGTGAAAAATTCAAAATTTTTAATTTTTTTTTCTTCGAAATTGCATTTTTCTTGTACACTTAGGTACAGGCCAACCGTTGGTGAAAGAATTTTTGCGCTATCTTTAATAGTTCGCCAGATATGTTCTCTTAAACATTTAATCCTCGATTTCGAAAATAACACTTGGCTAAAACTTCTGACAGCCGTAACTCCGAAACAGTACCTCGTTGATGGGCGCTTTTACTTTTGACGCAGAGCACAGTATCTCTAAAAATTTTTGATAATACTCCCATAGGGATCGGACCACTCATTGGGTTTCGAACGAGCCTCGTTTGGTACATCTGCGGAGCTATGGATTTTTAACCGCGGCCATGTTCGCGAGCGCACAGCTCCTAAGTTTGACGTTTTGCGAGCTGTAGCTGGAAAACGGTAGGACTTGTCGGAAAAATTCTTTCACAGACGTCTCAGTGCAAACGTTTTGGGCCGTATGCGATCGCAGTCGGTGTTGATGAAAAATTTTTAATTTGTTTTTCTTCGAAATTAAATTTTTAATGTAGGTACATTACGGCACGGGCTAAAAAAATTTCTAACAGCGATTTATCAAATTGTTCTGTTATTTGAAGTGAGTCCTTATGGTTTAATTATTTATTTTGCCACAGTCTGCTTTTATACGTTATTTATTAGAAGAGGAAGTAGTTACATAAAGGATCTCGCTTTTGTGGTGGCAGTTAAAGTCTAAACCCGAATTACAGAATTAAATATCTTAACAGTGTGGTTGATAAAGAATGGGACACAGTATCGACAACTACCGAGCTTACACATGATTTTAAGTAGTCGGTAGAGTTATGAAGAAACAATTGAGATCTGCACTTTATGTTGTTTAGTGAACCGTTAAATTAAACAATTTTTTCCACCATTTGGATTTAATTTTTTTTCACAAAAATTGTTATTAATTAAAAATGTTAAATGTCATTAAATTGAACTGAAGGACTAAATGATATATGAAGTGAACCTTAAAAATGTTAGATTTTACTCCTTGGAGTTTCCATAAGTATCTCTAAAAAAGGCATTAAGGATTCATGAAGCAAGTGGTACAAATGAAATTAGTTTCTTGAAGGGTTAGATATATGCATGTATATATGTATGTCTAGTAATACTACCTACACAAATATTTTACGGACTTCTAATGTTTCTGAATTATTTTCTGAAAGCCACGTCCTTTGCTCCTTAAACTCCTGAAGAGAGAGAACGAGGAAAATTTTTCTAGTGCAACGTAACTAGGTCAGTTCGCAAGTGGGACAAGAGTTTTTCCAACAACAACCTAATTGCTTGGAGACTCTTTTAACTCGGGCTTGTCTAATGAAGTTTCTTGCGTTAAGGGGCGATGCGATGCGATGGAAGCTGGTGGTGTCCGTGCAGCTTCGGTTAGTTGGTGTAATACCTCTATGTGTTGACACGGTAGAGATGAAAGTAATGAGATTTCTTTGTAGACAGGCAATGTAATTGAAATTGAAACTGTTGTTCTTCCACAATTGCTGCTTTGGTTGGGAATAAAACGAACAATCAAAGTAAATGACACTTATTTTTCTTTAACCAGGGCGAGTGTTTTTGACGTGACAACGTCTTATAATTCGATGGAGCCGGCTGCACACACGAAAAAACATGACTCATGCGGCGTTACCTCGCTCTGAGGCGTTCCATTTAAGTGCAACCGAGAGCGCGGAACGAGCGACAAAGAGACACAATCGGCCTCCGCGTTTGGCAGCGTTCGACATCTGTCTCTCTCCTACTTGAGTGAGCGATGCGTCCGCGTGGACAGCTGCTATACAATAATACATTTCCATTTACCTCCTTCTCTATATCCATACAAAATATCTATCAAACAAATAAAATTAAAATTTTCTTTTGAAAAATGAAACCATTCCATCAGTATTTTCTTATGACGTTGTCACGTTCAAGTATCGTCAGTAAACCGACTTTACAGACAACCGATTTTTTTAAACTTAGTTTGTACAGACCTGTCACTTTGACCTATGCAAATTAAACCGTAACTGTTGTATTCTAGAAGTCGTCTTGAATCGCAAATGTTGTGAATTATTAACTGCGTAATTTACCAGTCATAAAGACAGATAGTTACCGTACGCCACCCCCCCCCCTCTGATGTTAAATATGATACAACTTGATCATTTGGAATAAAATTTTGTTATACTTTCATTGTATCATCTAGGCGAGTCCCTTTAAATGACACTTTTATGGCTTTTGCAACTCGAGACGTTGACCTATCTATATATTTTTTTTTATGATAAATTGTCATTCGAACTGAGCACCGAGGTTTTTGTTTATGGTTTACATTAACGTTACGTTGAGTATATGTTAGAAGTAATAGTTAATTAGATAACATATACCTACAGTAACTTGTAGCGTCACTCGAGTGACCGGCAATATTTTGACGTAATAACCGAATGTCGTTATTAATGGAAGAAACGAATTTTCAAGAGAAATTGAGCAATTAATTTACTGGTAATAAATGACAGCAAAAGCAAATGGGGGTAGACAACATTAAATTTTTCCGAAGGGCAAAAAGAGGTAGTATCGTAATACGACCAAGCAATAAAGTATGACGTTATATCCGAGTGTGTTGTCGTTATTACTCTGATCTTTATTGCTGGTTTGAAGACTATTAAAATTTGGCGTTACATCGAAGTTGTCGTTATAACCGATGTTGTTTTAACCAAGTTTCACTTTATTATCAATCAGAGGAATGAATGTAATGTTTGACTCTCCACTGAAATAATCATTCGAGAGATGTTAGTAAGCACGTTTCGTCGTTGTTGCTGCTGTTTATTCGCAAATAATATAAATTTATTGTCATTTTTTTGTATTCCTAATCCATCTTTCTGTATTCTTAGTAAAGTTAAATTTGTTATGAAAACTGTTGTACCATAGAAAGTGTAAATTACATAAAATGAAACAGGTTTGGATGCATTCGGATTTATACTAGGGTACGTACAATAAAAATTTATTGTTTTTTAATTTTTCATTTTCTACCGCTTGGAATGCTCTCTGTAGGTCGGCTCTTCGATAGCACCAGCAATTTTCCACCTCTACCTACCTTAGCTCTGAATGTACAACGTAGTAGAGTGGAAAATTACTCTATAATTCAAACGTTATTAGCTTTAGTGTGTCGTTTACAGTATTCATTCCACTAAATATTTCCGAAAATACGTAGCAATTTATCTCGGTTTGACTAGTAAAGTCTCTACGCAGTGAAATCAATGGAAAAGTGTCTTATTTTTGTGCAAATAGTTGAACAGTTATTAAAAATTGTATTGTTATTAAGTGAGAGCGTATTGATGTCCATGAACAAAGCCAGATTAAGGTTATTTATGTGTATTATCTACAGATTTCGCGATTGAAGATTAACGGTGACACTTATCCTTCGGTGAGTCAGATTTGACTTATATTTATCATTTTTAATTTGCTTTGTGTGTATGTTTGTATGTATGTATTGCAATTTCTTCTTTTGCACTTTGCTCTATTTTTAATTCAATTCAAAACATTGCTTACAATCTAACAGGTAATAGTTACTAGAAAAGCAGAAATGCTAAATGATTCTTCGTACATAGATGAATAATCCCTTATCCTTTTATGAAACGAATAGTTAATTTTTGTTATAAGTTCATAAAAATTTTATATTTGTTACCTTTAGCTGACTCATATGGCAATTTTATTGTTATTATTTCAAAATTGTTGGTAGCTGCGACTGTTAGTACAAAAGCTCTCCGTAGTACGGTCGTCGATTGCGCCAGTGGTCTTTTAGTTCTGTAGCTGATGACTGTTATCTTATATACGTAACAAACTGGAAAATTCCACAGTTCTTTGTTATTTTCGAGAGTTAATGTGTTTCTGTGAAATCGTTTTCGAAAAATTTCAATTTTCGGCGTTTCGAACAGCGGAAAAAGTAGCGAAATTGAAAACGAAATATGTAGTGATATCAATACATGTTTGCTGAAGTGATGTAAACATTTAATTCATTACAAGTTGTATAAAAATACGAAATTTGTTGTTATCAAGTTAGAAGATGTTACTTGTTAATAAAACATAAGCAGTAATTGATAGAATGTGGAGCATTTCTTAGGAATACCCTATATAATGAAANTTTAGTTATTTTCATAATACATTAATAAAAATCAATATTTATAATAAATTAGAATAGGTCGTAATTGTAAGTTGTACAATAAACTCGGCGTTTCTATGGTCCTTCGAGTTATATATGTGGTACAATTGTACAAAAAGTTCGAATCAATTATTTGAATATTTCGAACGTAAAAAACAATTACCAAGGACTGTGAACGGCTATGAAAATTTTTCCTCTCCAAGAAACTATATATGTGTTTTTGTTTATGAGCTTTCAACAGAAATTGAGAAAATTATTGTAGATTTTTATTAATTGAGCGTACTACCCGGCTTACTTTCTCCTACTGTCCACTCTCTCTTATGTTGTATCTGATAATGAGGTTTTTGCTACTTTGTTGACTTTGATTACTTAAAAAATTTGTGTAACTAGAGGAAGAATGGAAAATACAATATTTTGTTGGTTTACATGACTTTAGAAAATTATTGCTGTGCTCTGCTTGATTCAAAATAAAATTTTAGATACTTATGCGATCTGCAAGTTTTATTTTAACTTTAAATAATGTATTTGGTACAGAAAACAAATGATTTTCGCAACCTTTGACCTTAAATATCTTGAAACGAAGACACGAAATTAGAATTAACTCTTGCAACGTCAATGTGAAAGCTCATGCAAATTTATAGCTTATTCCCTTTCATTCGGAGATTGATGCAATTCTAAACTTAGTTTCTCCTACGCCTTTGACCTGTTTTTCGATTAATAATAATTGTTCCTTTAGTAGCATCAACAAATATTTCAATATTGTGCACGTTCCAACATATCTAAATACATTATTTTAAAATTTTTAAAATTTTTGTATGGGAATGTATTAAATACATGCCTTGCAATTCTATAATTGATTTATTTATGCGCGAATGTTATTATTTCGGAAATGAATATTAGTCCTTTTATAGAATTATTGATTAAAGCATAGAAGACTTAACAAAACACACTTCTAACTATACATTTTCCGGATCATATTGCATTATCACGGAATGCTGTGGACAGTATCAAACCTTTATCATATGATAGTGAATGTTATCTTCGTACAACAAATTGTACCGAAAAGATAAACGACTTCCTAGGACCATAGTTCTCTTCTGCTGTTGTATCACTATCATTTTGTAATGAATTATTTATCATTAAACCTAGTTCAATACATTATAATCTTTCGAAGGCATATTTATTTATTATTTAATGACGATTGAAATGTTTAATGATTTATCTGTAATTAGTTTCTGGTTAAAGTTGCTATATTTACTTTATTTAGTAGATTTTCTTTTAATTATAACATCTAAAAAAGTAATAAGGAAAGTATGATAGTTACTAAGAATGTTTTTTGTTACAGTTAGTTGGAATGCAAGGACGTAGACGAGGCCTAATGGGGCGACTCACTAGAAGGGAGGAAGGAAGGCGGATTGATGATACAGGGGTGAGTTAATTCAATGATTTAGTTAACAGTATATTTTGACGGTTGGCGTCCCCAGTACTATTAGTGTTTGTTTTCGAGCTTCCTGACCGTTGTCTTTGGAAATTGTTTCCCGACGTTTCTCTTACAACTACGAAATTCTCAAGGGTATCACCTGGTTCTTGTCGGTCTTAATTGCCTTAATTTTTTAACTTTTTCTATTTTTTCCGCTTTTCATCTTACCTCTTTTTTTCCTTTCCGCTTTCTGTCTCTGATTTCTTCATACCTTTCTCTTACTAACATTTAATTCCAAACTTATCTTTCTTAAGTATCTTTCCAACGTTCTCATCATATCTTTCAACGCACTATTTCGTGACTATTAAAGCAATGTCGTAAGCATAAGATAAGGTTTAGACTTTCTTTATACTTACAACTACCCCTCCCTCCCTTATCTTACCAATCTCTTTCCCTAAATCACTTAAGGTCCCATATCAGTCGCTTCTAGACAATTGAGATTTTTTTTAATCATAAAAATAGATCTATCTTGATGTATACAAGTTGAAAGATAATTTTAATTCAGAATAGTTTTGAACCAAGTTTGATAATTGGCTATTATGTGGATAGTAATTTATTTATGCTGAAAGGATAAGTAATTCTTAAACAATAAGAAATAGGTATTAATAATTTGAGGTGGAAGGTCCGGGCTATAGTTAGGATGAACTAAAAGTGTAAGCTCCGATTGGATCAAAAACTTCTTAATCAATCTTACCCAGAATCTCTTGAATTTGTCTATATGTAATTCGATGGTCAGCTAGAATTAGATTTTTAACTGCGACAATGTTTTCTTGTATCCTGTTTGTCACCGGGCAGCCTCATCTTTCATCGTCATCTAAACTGAAATTTCCTCCTTCAAATTCTTTGTACCAACGAAATATGGCAGAAGCTGAAGGGCACTCTTAGCCGAAAGTTTCAGACATTTCGTAATGGCACTCTTGGTATGATGAACCACGTTTGAAATTATAGTAGAATATCACTCGGAAAGTCATTTTTAACAACTTTCCACTGGTCATGTAACAAACAGACAAAGCACAGGAGGGTGCTGTATATTTATGTTTGGACTTGCAAGTTATTATTGCGATCAATTGAACAAGGATAAACTTGCTAGGTGTCTCGTATTGCAAGACTGGGGTAATGCATGATTACTGAGAACGGTGAACGGCTTTGAAAATTCTTCCTTTCTAAGTAGGGTTGCCATCTCTAAAATTTGGAAACCAGGACAAGACGCGTGAAAACCCCGGATTTTAGAGTCCAGAACCCGGACATGTCAACAGGTTTTTTTAAACATAGTCAGTGTAACAAAAAACAGTTGAAAATGTCATAAATCACCCTTTTATTTATTTTNATTTGAAAATTGTTTCACTGGTAAAATCAATGCATTTTGTTACTACAATTTTTAAAGTAAATATGACGCCTTGCACCTCCACCATATTTTACTAATTTTGATTATGAATATTAATAAAATTTCCAAAATATAGATATTCATCCAATATTTACAGCCTTTAATTTCACGTATTTCACATATCCTTTCTACCCTCTTCATTCAATATTTACACCCTCTAATTTCACATATTTCTCATATCCTTTCACCCCGAAATCATGGGAGAACTTGAGACAAATGTCGTTGAAGACGATAATGAAGACCAGTTTGAAATTTACCAGCAGCCGGAAGACGACGATGAAGAGGAAGAAGATGATTAAATGTTTCTTCAAATCCTATAGACTTTATTTTACTAACGTTTTGTTCCAAATTTATTTTTCTTCTTAAGTATCTTTCCAACGTTCTTATCATATCTTTGTCAGCATAAGATAGGGTCCAGATGTTCTTTATACCTAGAAATATCAATTCCTCCCTTACTTTGCCAATCTCTACCCTAAATTACTTGAAGGCCCCATATCAGCCAAATGAGATTTTTTTGAATTTTATTAAATGGATTACTCTTGATGTATACAAGTTAGAATGTAATTGTAATTTAGAATAGTTTTGAACCACGTTTGATAACTCGCTGTTTGGAAAGTGCTTTTACTATTGCAGATCTATAGGAAAATACTTTAAAACAATATTTCGTCAGATATTGAGAATATTCTAAAATTCAAGCATCCTTGTCTGACTCTTCTCTCAATCCAGAACTTTTTATCTCCCTATATTGTTTACCCTTACCCCTCTTTAATTCGTCAATTTTACTATTTTTTAACATGTTTAACAATTAATTGCATCAAAAGCCATTTTTAAATGTACGGATACTGCACAAATCATTTTTTCAACTCTGTATTATGTGTTTGTATTACATTATTTAACAATAATATCATGTCAGAAATTTATCTGTCTTGAAATCCAAACAGTTGTTCGCTTAAAATTTTATTCATTTCAATTTCCATTTACAACCAATTTTTGATCATATCTGTATATATTCTATACATCGCATGTATAATCGTAATTTTTCTATAATTTTCNTTTTTTATTATTCTCCGTGCCCATATTATTTCCTTCTTTCTTGTACCCATTCTGTCTCATACCATCCCGTAATCCATAAATTTCGTCTTTCTAGTATTCAACTCCAATCCCGTCTTTCCTAAGTACCTTTCCAAAACCTTCATCATCACTTTTGGAACTCCATGATTCGTGGATAACAAGGCAATATCATCCAAATTATGGCATGCTAAATTAGGTTGATATGTACATGATTTTCATCAAAATTATGCATTTTTTACAATAACTATGATTGTTCTGCATGATTCCAAATAAAATTTTAGATACTTTTGTGATTTGCAAGTTTTATATTAACCTCAAATAACATATGATACTTTTTATATAAACTTTCAGCAGAAATTGAGAACATTATTGTAGATTTTATTAATTGAGCGTACTATCCGTCTCATTCTCTCCGAATGCTCACTCTCTCTGATGATGTATCTAATAAAGAGCTCTTTGCCACCTTGTTGGCTTTGATTATTTAAACAATTCGTGTAACTACAAAAAGAATAGATAATACAATATTTTATTAGTTTACATGATTGTTCTGCATGATTCCAAATAAAATTTTAGATACTTTTGTGATTTGCAAGTTTTATATTAACCTCAAATGACGTATTTCGTATAGAAAAAACGATTTTCGCAACCTTTGACATTAAATATCTTGAGACGCAGACAGGAAATTAGAATTACTTTTTAGAATGTCAATATGAAAGCTTATGCAAATTTATAGCTTATTCCATTCCATTCTGAGGTTGATGCAGTTCTTAACTTATAGTCTACGCCTTTGACCTGTTTTTCGATTGATAATAATTGTCCTTTTAGTAACATCAAAGAATATTTCAATATTGTGCACGTTTCCGACATATCTAAAAGCATTATTTAAAAAATTTTAAAATTTTTGTATGGGAATGTATTAAATACATGCCTTGCACTTCTATAATTGATTTATTTATGCGCGAATGTTATTATTTCGGAAATGAATATTAGTCCTTTTATAGAATTATTGATTAAAGCATAGAAAACTTAACAAAACACACTTCTAACTATACATTTTCCGGATCATATTGCATTATCACGGAATGCTGTGGACAGTATCAAACCTTTATCATATGATAGTGAATGTTATCTTCGTACAACAAATTGTACCGAAAAGATAAACGACTTCCTAGGACCATAGTTCTCTTCTGCTGTTGTATCACTATCATTTNTTCATTGTATAAAAATACGAAATTTGTTGTTATCAAGTTAGAAGATGTTACTTGTTGATAAAACATAAGCAGTATTTGATGGAATGTGGAGCATTTTTTAGGAATACCCTATATAATGAAATTAAAGCTATTTTCCGGTAAGTTTTCACCATTGCATCTTTGTTCTCAAAATTTTAACGATTACGGTAGGGTTTTGAAGTTTTTCTCTTGATAGAGGTCTTATTACACTTAAACTATTGTTATTTTAAACATACTTTTAACTATACATTTTACGGATCGTATTCCTTTTTCACAGGATGCTGTGGACAGTATCAAACCTTTATTATATGATCTAACAATGGCAACATATACATACATACTAGCACGTGTCATAGCAGAAACGACTTATATTGCTATTACCGACAGGAAAGTAGTCAATTAGGATAAGTCACTGACTTTAGATGTTATTGTACCTATTCATAAATTAATAAAATTAACATTAATACATTCGTGCTCACACATCATCCCTAGTAATATTTATTTTGATGGACAAATTTTTCGTTGTGTCACTTTACCCTTTTGTAATGAATTATTTATTATTGAACCTAGTTAAACCTAAAAGCATATTTATTTATCATTTAATGATGCATCATTGAAATATTTGTTGTATGTTTAACGATTTATTTGCAATTAGTTTCTGGTTGAAGTTGTTACTTTATTTAGTAGCTCTTCTATTAATAATAATTTCTATATTTAATATATTATGTGGATAGTAATTTATTTATGCTAAAAGGATAAGTAATTCTCAAACAATAAGAAATGGGTATTAATAAAGGAGTAGTAATTATTTTATTGAAATACAGAATTGTTGGGGTATTAAAAAGGATTGACAAATAATACGACATTTTTGTACAAATTAAACATACTTTTACTTATTTGTTACAGTATGTTATTAGAAAATCGGGAATTTTTGGGTTTAGTTTAATCTTGTGTAATGTATAATTGCTGAGAATGGTGAGAGATTTTGAAAATTATTTTCGTTCCATGAAACTATAGTTTCAGGAAAGACATGTGGCATATTTTTTTATATTTAATAGAATGAGTTTTTAGCAGAAATTGAGAAAATTTTTGTAGATTCTTATTAATCGAGCGTACTACCTATCTTTTTCTCTCCCGAATGCTCACTCTCTCAGTCTGAACGGTAAAACAACTGTGTTCTCCTTGTACCTATTGATAAAGTAATTTAATTTTTTTTAACAAATAAAACTACAAGTTTGAACAAATTAAACATAGTTACGGTTTTCTTATTTATTACTGTTTAATATCATGCAAAAATCGTGAATTTGGGCATTTACTTTAGGGTAATGCACGATTACTGTTAAGGAACCTTAAGGGACTTTATGGCATAAACATTTTCATATTTTATTATACCTTTAGTGTATAGCTTAGTGTTATTGGACTTAAATATATTTCCGAAATCTACGGTCACGTAGGCAAATTCGCAGAAGCACAAATGAGGGTTTATCCTATGGTTAGTATATTGTACATTGGTATTACTGTCAATAACCTCTCGTTATTGGGAGGGATAATTTGTCGTTTTCGGAATCTAGTGTACAAAATTTTAAGTTTGATAGAATAGTTCTTTTGTAGACTCGCTGAGAGTAACTAGACTTTAATTATTTTCATAATACATTTATAAAAATCAATATTTATAATAAATTAGAATAAGTCGTAGTTGTAAGTTGTACAATAAATTCGTTATATTTACAACTCGGCGTTTCTATGGTCCTTCGAGTTATATATGTGGTACAATTGTACAAAAAGTTCGAATCAATAATTTGAATATTTCGAACGTAAAAAACAATAATATTTGTGAATAATTTCATTGTCATGCAGACAAAATGTACGTGATAAATTCAATAATTCCTGGTAGTATAAATGAGGTTTTTCTGTCACTAATACCTGGCTTATTGTTAGCTCTTTGATACCTGTTTCTAGAACTTTTCTATATCTGGTTGTACTCAACACCCTCTCGTATATGACGGAAATTCCTATATTTATCCACCACCATAATATCTTTCATTTAGACTCCACCCCCTTTCTTAGTGGTTCTCTAGTTTTTATGTAAATTTAATTTTGTTAGTTAGTATGTAAGAAACATTCTCATTAAACACATCAACTCNTCAAATACCTGAGGAAGGTAACCTTGTTACCAAAAGATACTTTGGACAGTCTTATAGATCTAAACTTTTATGAAAACTGTCACCTTACATCTTAGAGGGACTTTATGGCATAAACATTTTCATATTTTATTATACCTTTAGTGTATAGCTTAGTGTTATTGGACTTAAATATATTTCCGAAATCTACGGTCACGTAGGCAAATTCGCAGAAGCACAAATGAGGGTTTATCCTATGGTTAGTATATTGTACATTGGTATTACTGTCAATAACCTCGTTATTGGGAGGGATAATTTGTCTATTTAGGAATCTAGTGTACAAAATTTTAAGTTTGATAGAACAGTTCTTTTGTAGACTCGCTGAGAGTAATTAGATTTTAGTTATTTTCATAATACATTAATAAAAATCAATATTTATAATAAATTAGAATAGGTCGTAATTGTAAGTTGTACAATAAACTCGGCGTTTCTATGGTCCTTCGAGTTATATATGTGGTACAATTGTACAAAAAGTTCGAATCAATTATTTGAATATTTCGAACGTAAAAAACAATTACCAAGGACTGTGAACGGCTATGAAAATTTTTCCTCTCCAAGAAACTATATATGTGTTTTTGTTTATGAGCTTTCAACAGAAATTGAGAAAATTATTGTAGATTTTTATTAATTGAGCGTACTACCCGGCTTACTTTCTCCTACTGTCCACTCTCTCTTATGTTGTATCTGATAATGAGGTTTTTGCTACTTTGTTGACTTTGATTACTTAAAAAATTTGTGTAACTAGAGGAAGAATGGAAAATACAATATTTTGTTGGTTTACATGACTTTAGAAAATTATTGCTGTGCTCTGCTTGATTCAAAATAAAATTTTAGATACTTATGCGATCTGCAAGTTTTATTTTAACTTTAAATAATGTATTTGGTACAGAAAACAAATGATTTTCGCAACCTTTGACCTTAAATATCTTGAAACGAAGACACGAAATTAGAATTAACTCTTGCAACGTCAATGTGAAAGCTCATGCAAATTTATAGCTTATTCCCTTTCATTCGGAGATTGATGCAATTCTAAACTTAGTTTCTCCTACGCCTTTGACCTGTTTTTCGATTAATAATAATTGTTCCTTTAGTAGCATCAACAAATATTTCAATATTGTGCACGTTCCAACATATCTAAATACATTATTTTAAAATTTTTAAAATTTTTGTATGGAAACATATTTAATAATTCGCTTTGCATTTCTATAATTGATTTGTTTAAGCGCGAATGTTGTTTCGGAAATGAATATTAGTCCATTTACAGCATTATTGATTAAAATATAGAAAACTTAATAAAACATACTTTTAACTATACATTTTACGGATCGTATTCCTTTTTCACAGGATGCTGTGGACAGTATCAAACCTTTATTATATGATCTAACAATGGCAACATATACATACATACTAGCACGTGTCATAGCAGAAACGACTTATATTGCTATTACCGACAGGAAAGTAGTCAATTAGGATAAGTCACTGACTTTAGATGTTATTGTACCTATTCATAAATTAATAAAATTAACATTAATACATTCGTGCTCACACATCATCCCTAGTAATATTTATTTTGATGGACAAATTTTTCGTTGTGTCACTTTACCCTTTTGTAATGAATTATTTATTATTGAACCTAGTTAAACCTAAAAGCATATTTATTTATCATTTAATGATGCATCATTGAAATATTTGTTGTATGTTTAACGATTTATTTGCAATTAGTTTCTGGTTGAAGTTGTTACTTTATTTAGTAGCTCTTCTATTAATAATAATTTCTATTTGTTACAGTTAGTTGGAATGTAGGGACGTAGACGAGACCTAATGAGGACGACTTCGCTGAAAGGGAAGAAGGAAGGCGGATTGATGATGCAAGGGTGAGTTAATTCAAGATTTAGTTGATAGTATATTTTGACGGCCGGCGTCTTCAGTATTATTACTGTTTGTTTTCGGATTTCCTGACCGTTGTCTTTGGAAATTGCCTTGAAAGTTGCCTAATTTTTCAACTTTTTCTGTCTATTCCGTTTTTTATATTACCTCCTTTTTTCCTTTTAGTCCAGTCATTTAAGCTTAAATTAGGTAAGAATTTCGGAATTCGAGATACCCAGCTGTAAGTCTGTAAATACTTGTATATTGACACCCTAAAAGTTGTCTCAAAACCTACATATGGTAGGGTGTACGCAACTATTAAATTTCAAGGTCAAAGGTCACAAAAATAGGTTTTTTGCGCTTTTTTTGTAAATATCTCATTTCCTATGGGTTTTTTGCTATTTGTATTTATTATCAATATTGTAGAATACAAAATTCTCTACAAATTTTGTTTGAAAAAATTTTTCACACGGTGAACCGTTTTCGAGATAGAGGGCGGAGAGCGCGCGGTCACAGCATCACTTCAGGTCAACCGGTGCCTCCAAGCTTGTGATATTATTTAAATTATCTAATTTGTGCAGTACATAGTATATATTGCTACGGTTTTTAATAATTATTAATTTAATATATTATGTGGATAGTAATTTATTTATGCTGAAAGGATAAGTAATTCTTAAACAATAAGAAATAGGTATTAATAATTTGAGGTGGAAGGTCCGGGCTATAGTTAGGATGAACTAAAAGTGTAAGCTCCGATTGGATCAAAAACTTCTTAATCAATCTTACCCAGAATCTCTTGAATTTGTCTATATGTAATTCGATGGTCAGCTAGAATTAGATTTTTAACTGCGACAATGTTTTCTTGTATCCTGTTTGTCACCGGGCAGCCTCATCTTTCATCGTCATCTAAACTGAAATTTCCTCCTTCAAATTCTTTGTACCAACGAAATATGGCAGAAGCTGAAGGGCACTCTTAGCCGAAAGTTTCAGACATTTCGTAATGGCACTCTTGGTATGATGAACCACGTTTGAAATTATAGTAGAATATCACTCGGAAAGTCATTTTTAACAACTTTCCACTGGTCATGTAACAAACAGACAAAGCACAGGAGGGTGCTGTATATTTATGTTTGGACTTGCAAGTTATTATTGCGATCAATTGAACAAGGATAAACTTGCTAGGTGTCTCGTATTGCAAGACTGGGGTAATGCATGATTACTGAGAACGGTGAACGGCTTTGAAAATTCTTCCTTTCTAAGTAGGGTTGCCATCTCTAAAATTTGGAAACCAGGACAAGACGCGTGAAAACCCCGGATTTTAGAGTCCAGAACCCGGACATGTCAACAGGTTTTTTTAAACATAGTCAGTGTAACAAAAAACAGTTGAAAATGTCATAAATCACCCTTTTATTTATTTTCAGACCTTAAAATTAAATTTAGTCATTCTTTATCATCATTTTCAATGTACCTAACAAAACAGAATCTTATNATTTTCTAGAATTATTTATAAAAAGTCACAAGAAAGGCGAAAGGCGAAACGTTGGTGCCAAGTCTTTGTGATGAGTTACTTATCATTTTGGGATGAATTATTTGTCACTAAATCAACTTTAAAATACTGCATTTTCCAGAAGGCATACGCATGTATCATTTAATCATCACGTCTTGATAAAGTATTTGTAATATTATTATGTGTATAATTTTTCAACATTTTTAACATTACATTATTCTACATACCTACACATAACAATTGTAAATTAACCTTCTTTCTTCAGCACAATTAAATACATAATTGAAATAAGAATTTTATCTCTTTTCCCATATATTATTTACTATTCACCCTTCATGTGCATTCTTTTAATTTTTTACATACATTTTTGAAACGGGTTAGACTATTCCTACACTCACTTATCAACTCATTTCCTAAGTTCCTAATAAAGTATTCCCGTTTCCTATTTCAGTTTGTCATATATTTTATTTTTATCGTTCTTATTCTCTCCATTTCATAACTTAATAAATAAGTGTATTTTTTTAATATTTTTTATTATTCTCCGTGCCCATATTATTTCCTTCTTTCTTGTACCCATTCTGTCTCATACCATCCCGTAATCCATAAATTTCGTCTTTCTAGTATTCAACTCCAATCCCGTCTTTCCTAAGTACCTTTCCAAAACCTTCATCATCACTTTTGGAACTCCATGATTCGTGGATAACAAGGCAATATCATCCAAATTATGGCATGCTAAATTAGGTTGATATGTACATGATTTTCATCAAAATTATGCATTTTTTACAATAACTCATCTATGTTGAAAATATATTTTCAAGTTTCGATCCCATTGTGGCCTGTATGTATATTTCGTTAGCTTGTATTAAATGCTGACGTTAGAAATTAATATTTACATCCATAGTAGCTTTATTTTATTTTATTTATTATTTTAAAATTGTTGGTTCGTGCGAGTATTAGTTCAAAAGCTCTCCGTACTACGGTCGTCGATTGCGCCAGTGGTCTTTTTGTTTTGTTTCTGATGACCGTGATCTTACATACGTAACAAACTAGAAAATTCCACAGTTCTTTGTTATTATCGGACGTTAATGTGTGTTTATGTGAAATGTGAAATCGTTTTCGAAAAATTTCAATTTTTGGCGTATCGGACAGTGGAAAATGTAGCAAAATTGAAAGCGAAATATGTAGTGATATCTTAATACGTGTTTGCTGAAGTGGCGTAAACATTTTATTCATTGTATAAAAATACGAAATTTGTTGTTATCAAGTTAGAAGATGTTACTTGTTGATAAAACATAAGCAGTATTTGATGGAATGTGGAGCATTTTTTAGGAATACCCTATATAATGAAATTAAAGCTATTTTCCGGTAAGTTTTCACCATTGCATCTTTGTTCTCAAAATTTTAACGATTACGGTAGGATTTTGAAGTTTTTCTCTTGATAGAGGTCTTATTACACTTAAACTATTGTTATTTTTAAACTGTTTCATAATTTACAAGTAGTTTAGATACATTTTTTGGTATACTGATTCAGTTTATGTATGAAATAATCACTTCTGATTGTTTAATGAAAAATTCCTTCTACAAATGTTTTCAGAATTATAATTACAGTGCGCTCTGTATAGAATAATGTTTGTGTGTTTAAATGTAATGTTTAAAAAATTAATATAAGTGTAACTGTCCACCGCTATTTTTCGCATTTGAACGATATATAAGGCAAGGCTTGTTCGATAGTCTAGCGGTAATACGGTCGCAGATCGTAGGTTGACTGCCTAGACGCTGAGTGAGGGTACCTATAGCAAAGCGTTATTAGGTGGAATAGGCCAAACGGGCGACTGTAAGTCCGGCGGTGTATTACCCCCGTATTTTCCACTGTTCCAGTTATCGGTTAATCGTCGACTTCGTGATTAGATA